AACCATATAGATGGGTTGGACATATTTTAAAATGTAATAACGATTTTGTGTTTGAACAAATAAGTACATATAAAAGTGTGATTTAGATCACAGCAACAAACAATAAAAGTTGAAGAATTTAATACTCTGCAGCATAAAATTTAACCAAAGAATTGGAGGAAATGATATTTATTATAAATTCCGAGAATAGCAGCAATGCAAAGAAAGTTCAAGAAGTGAACATCTTATCAAATAATAATAAAATAAATAACTACTTGCTTCTTCCCTCCCTTATTTTAACTACTACTTTTACTTTTCCCATTGATATATTTTACCAAACGACCAACATCGTCTGTGGAAATATTATCTTTTCTCTTTCGAAATTTGCATGTTATTACCTATTTTATGCATTTTCATTATATTAACAGCATTTTTAGACAGAAGAAATAATTCTGTCTAAAAATTCTGTTCTAACATTTACTTGATTTGAAAGTACTGTTGGCTTTTATTTTCCTTATTATTCATTTTGTTTTATATTGTTTCCACACATAATGAACAATTGACCTTCACAGTGGTAACTTTTTTGGCAGTTTGTCTAGAGGCAACTTATAATTAGCTTATTTCCTCCACAAAAGAGAGTTTCGATTTACTATTACCATGCAAAGTCTGAATTTTGTATCTATTTTAAATTCGAACTTGACTTGATTAATAACTTCAGAGTTAAATCAGGTCAAAAAAACCCCCATAATTTAAATGTAAAATGACTAACATTAAAAATAAGTGGAAGTTAAAGGGCTCACTATTATGTATTCCTTTCCTGATCTGGAATATCTCCTGGATAGTTTTTGTAGTGTCATCATGGGAAGACTTGGCTTAGATTTTGTGCTGCATTGTTTTAGTGGCTGTCAGCTGCAGATGTTGACTAAAAGGTACAGAAGAAAAACTTATGGGAAATGAACATTTCTTTCATACCACTTGGAGATAGGACTATCGTCCTGGTGTTAAGAGGTGGTTAATGCCTCAGAGAAGTTTGATTGTCTATTTCTTTAAAACAATGTTTTCTGAAGATATAATACCTTAAGTTAGAGATTTTGGTTGAATATTCCCTAAATCAGACATAGATTTTTCTATTGTGATTAGTGATCCATATTTATGTGTTAACATTTCCTAGGAACAGTGAATTATATGGAATCTCATTCTCTTTGTATTGTATACTGAATTCTGCTGGATTCACTGACAAGAAGAGTTTGAATTAGCAG